CAGTGCAGATAATAAGAACCTAAGTTTAAAAAATATCTTTGGCACAGAAGGCAAATCGGGAAGGACCCATACCTTGTGGTTGGTAGGGGGTGGGAGCCTTACAGGTGGTTTTATTTCCCTGTTCCTGTTTATTGTTTGGATGGGGGTGCAAATGAGCCAGTAGGACTTTTATAATTGGCAGAACAATAAGACTTGTTCTAAAGAGAATCAGGGGAGACTGGGAAGGAGCTGGAGATGGGAAAGGAGGTGGCTAGGGTGCAGGCAGATGCTGCAGAGGATAGAAGAGTGCCCTGGAGTGAGAAGGAGGCGGGGAACTAGCTAGGTACCAAAGCCCAGCAGGATGTGCCAGGAAGTGGGGAGCCCCAGGGAAGGGAGGGAGCATGGGAATAGAGGAGCGCCCTCACCCCTGCTCACTGGCCCCTGTGTCTGGGCAAAGGATGCTCACTGACTTTGCCTTCACAGTGCCTTAATAGCACTGCTCATCCCAGGGAAGCCCCCTCCAGAATTTTCCCCATGCCCCAGACTCCAGGACCACAGCAAGGGTGGATTGTCTTTTTTTTTTTCTTTCTGTTCTAAAACTACATCTTGGCCAGGTAGTAGCTCATACTGTAATCCTAGCACTCTGGGAGGTCGAGGCAAGATGATCCTTGAGCTCAGTAGTTCAAGATCAGCCTGAACAAGAGCAAGACCCTGTCTCTACCAAAAAAAAAAAAAAAAAAGTGAGAAAGAGGAAGTAAGGGAGGGAGGGAGGGAGGGAAAGATAGATTAACCAGCCATGATGGCACGTATCTGTAGTTAGTTCCAGATACTTGGGAGGCTGAGGCAAGAAGGTCTCTTGAGCCCAAGAGTTGAGGTTACTGTGAGCTATGATGATGCCACGGCACTCTGCCTAGGGCCACGGAGTGATACTCTGCCTCAAAACAAAACAACCTGCATCTCCCCAGCCCTGCAGGTGGCTTTGTCATTTTCTGTGCCAGACTCACTCTAGGGGAAAGAAATCCTCCGGGGCAGTCTTTAATAACTTCTGCTGCCCAAGGAATCATCTTCAGGGTCTAAAGTCTTAACCAGGTGAGGTGACCATACCTGTAGCTGGGGCCCCAGGACTAGGGTGTGAGGGATGGTCATGGAATTAGAAGAGCTGCCCCCAACTCTACTCATCCCAAGGCAAGTCCTTCAGTCCTAGAGCTTCAGTGTCTTGGGCCCTGGTCACCTGGGTTGCATGGGGTAAAGCCTAAGCCCCCAGGGGCTCTCTCCAGCCTCCTGGCTGCCACCTATTAGGAGACAACTGGCCTAGGACCAGGGCCTCAGTCTCCTCATGTATGAAACAAAAGGGAAGGACGATGAGGTTTTCCGTCTTCTAAGCCCAACCCTCAGTGACATGCTTTCTGGGGCTCTCTCTGAGTTATTTTTAATTCCTGGAATTGATAACATTTAAACATTGAGAGATTTCACATAAAAATCTAGATTCCCACCAATATACAATCCTCATTCCTGCCCGGAAGCCATTGGAAGGTACTGAGGGTCACAGCCCCCCAGAGATGGGCAGAGCCTCCACTTTGCCATGGCGACTGCCACCGAGTGGACCCTGGCTGGCCTCCCTCTCCCTATAGGCATGAGTTTACACCCCCCAGCTCTCCAGTGCCTGTTTTTCTACTCATCGAATGGGTAAAAATAACAGGCTTTTGAATCAATCTACTTAGGTCCAAATACCAGCTCTGACTCTTGAGACCGTAGCAAGTTATTTGACTTCTAAGCTTCATCTGTAAAATGGGTATTATAAAAGACGGCGCCTTATGTGGAATTTGTGGACTAAGACGACCGGTATAAAGTTCGCACTGTGCCTAGCACATGACGAGCACTCAAACTGAGCTCTTAGCGTCACTGTGCAAAGCCTTCGGATGAGGCCCAAGACAGGAACAGTCGATGTTTGTTAAATGCAGGAAGTAATTAATGGAGAGGATGAGAATTCGGGAATGGATGAATTTGCAGAGTGGAGGCTGCAGGAGGCTCAGGTTCAGCAGTCAAGGGAGGAAAAGCTTCATCTTCAAAGTGTGCGGGACCGGTGTGGGGCGGAGATCAGCAAAACCAACTTCTCTCCGAGAGACCTAGCGGCTCCGGGGTCTCCGGGCGTTACCTTGGCGCCACCTTCTGGTTGCTGCGGGCCTCACACCTCCCCGCTCCATCCCCAGGCCCGGGAGGACCCTCCACCCTGCAGAGTTGTTCCTCTTCACTGTTTTCAGCGCTGAAGGGACCCTTTGCACTCATAGGAACCCAGCCGTTCATCAGACGTCCGGGGACAAAAGCTCAGAACCAGAAAGGAACTCTCCTGAGGCCACGCAGAAAGCTCCTGGTGGAGCTCCAATCCGGACCAGAACAAGCTAGAGCTGCCAAGAATAACCACCTCTTCCCTTTGTCAGGGATTCTAAGAAATACAAAATTGCACATTTTTGTGCATGGGCTCTGCTAGATTCTCAGGATGAATTTCTCGCAGATGCAGACCATGAGGTGTGGAATTGATGCAGGTAGTTTCTTTGGGAGTTGAACCCAGGAAGCAGCAGTGAGGAAGTGGGAAGAGAGACAGGAAAGGGACAGAAGCCAAGCCAGAGTGCCCACCTGAGGCAATGGGGGCTCAATCCTGCCAGGAGCCTAGGAGACAGTGTGGATCACACCTCGGATCTGTCCTTCCCACGGGCAAGGAAGCCGGGCTATTTATCTACCCACTTTCAACTCTGGTTAGTTGAAAGTACTCTGGGGGCACTAACTCCCCCAGACCCAGCTCCCCTGGCCTATGTCTCACCAAGCATGTTTTCAAGACCTGGAAAATCTCCAAAGCAAGCTATCCCAAGTGCCTGCCATAGGAAACCATCTGCTTATATAATAGAAATAGGAACACCAAGGGCAGTCGTTCTCAAAGTGTGATCCTTGGACCAGCAGCCACAACACCTGGGAAACTTGTAAGAAATGCAAATTCTTTTTCCCTCATTTATTTTTTGCTTGTATATATTCGTGGGGTACAAGTGCAATTTTGTTGCATTGATAAATTGCATAGACATGCAAATTCTTGATCTCCATTCCAGACCTACTGAATCAGAAACACAGGAACTGGGGCCTAGCAACCTCTGACAAGCCTTGCAAGGTGGTTCTGATACCCACTCAAGTTTGAGAACTTCTGGCCTAGGAGAGAACCAGGAGGTATCAATAGCATCTGCTGTAGGTATTGTCACCATTTGCCAGATAAGGAAACAGAAGCAAAGAGGTGAAAGTGACTCCCCCCAAGGTCATGCAGATAATAGGTGGCAGACCTAGGTTTTTTTGTCTCTTTCCAGCAGACCCCCACACAGAAATGAGCAAGCCTGGCATTTGGGCTCTAGGTAGGGGTTGAGAATTAAGTCCCAAAGCTCGCCTTTCCCCCACCACCACTCTGTTCAGCTTTCTGAACCAAAGGCCTCCACCTGGTGCATCCAAATGGTCCTCGAAGCTCCTCTGGGAAGTCTGCCAAGCCAGGTGCCCCTCTTTTGGCTCCCAGCTGCACCTACAGCCTCCACAGGGACAAGCCCTCTCCACCCCCACCCTTCAGCCAGCAGGACATGTTGGGAGAATCCAAAGCAGCGTCTGCCTGGGAGAGGTTGAGACCCCTGGGTTAAATCTCACCACGAGTCTCTGCCAGGGCGTTGCCTGGCACCTTGCATTGCTCTTCCCTCTCCTCGTGTCCTCCAACCCCCTTCCCTTCCCCTCCCCTCCCCTCTGCTCCCACTCCATCTGCTGCTCCTCCTGGCTAGGCTCCCCCTCAGTTGGCACAGCAGGAAAAGAGAACAGGATGGTTTATTTTTATCCTAAGATACTGCTAGGGGGAAGGGGGTACCATCTGACCGAGAAGCAGCAGCTCCCAAAGCAGTGGCGAGGTCAGAAGGCAGTGGGAGACCCAGGATCTCCCTGGGAAGGAGTTACAGACGTCGGTTCCAGAGAGAAGGCAGATCTGGGAGAAGCTCAGGACCTAGAGTGAGGAGCTCTGAGCATGGCACCACTGGGTAATGCTGTGTGACCACAGGAGGGTCACTTCACCTCTCTGGGCCTTGGCTTCCACTTCTGTGAAAGAGGGAGGGATGAGGGCCCTGCCTGCTCCCTGGAAGGCTGTTTTCGGGAATATGAATCAAACAGGAAGAACACTTTACAAACTCAATGCCAAGTGTGAACACACATGGAAAACACCCTGGAGGAGCATCAGCCTGGGGGACACTCTTATTTGTCCTCAGTAAGTGTCCTGATTCTGTGAGTCTGGCAGCAAGTTGAACAGCTCATGTCACCCGGCGGGTCCACCTTTGTTTTTATTTTTACATGTTTGATGGTTTTTTAATTACATAAGCATTATGTGAAATCACTCTCCTTTTGGGGAAAAGAAATGAAGCTTTATAGGAAACCCAAATCTCCTTTAACCAGTCCTCCTCTCCCAGACCCCTTGTTCTCCACTCCAGACGTCACCACTCTTCAAGTTGTGGAGCTTCTTCGTATCCCCCCAGAACCCTTGTTCTGCCTACATATAAGATTATATTATATTTATATATATATCATAGACAACGTATCATACACAAAAGTATACACTTTACCAAAAATGTTCCATACCCAACATTCTGCAACATGCTTTTTTTTTTTTCAGTTCACAGTGTTTTTGAGATGTTGTTTATAAATATATTACAATTTGATTAAGCCAATCCCCTGGCAGTAGACAGTTCAGCGGCTTCCAGTCAGTCATACGCCATCACAGACAACGCTGCAAAGGACAATCCATGTGTGTCTTCCTGGGTACAGGGAAGCCACCATGTCTCTGGACACTGATCTGCTGGCTTGGAGGGTGTGGCGGCTATTACTGTATCACCCCTGCCACCATCTCCACCAAAGTTTTCCCTCCATCTTTAAAAACAAGTTGGGAGACTGGCTGGACTCCAGGGCTAGGAGGTTCTCCAAGGTAAAGTGTTTCTGTATCCAGTGCCAGGGTTCCTGTCTTGGCCACAGGGGTGCAAGCAGAGGAGGCCTGTGTCCAGTCAGTGCTAGCCCCTGGCTCTCACCACAGCAGTCCCAGGCTCTCTGGCCAGGTGCCCACGCCGCCAGGCTCCTGCACACTCGCAGCTCACTGTCTCTCCTGCACTGAGATGCGGCTTTCTTTCCCATCCTCCTGGGTGACCGGCTGGCACCCATGCATGGTTTCTTGTACTGGAGCAGCAGGATCTAATCCAAGAGGATCTTCTACAAAAACTGATTCCTGAGGTTCCTTTCTCTCATCCTCTGACTGAGCAACCTGGGGAGCCAAGGTGCAAGGTGATTCCAGAGAGCAAGGACAGCCCCGCCTCTGAGGAGCCCCCAGCTGGAAAGCGGATACCCACCCACCCCCTTTCCCCTTCCTCACACGCTGGGTCAGCATCAATTCCTCAGGTACCTCCTGACCCCTGCTGGCCACACCAAGGGTAACAAGGAGCTCCCAGAGGGGAAGCGGTTGGTTCTGGGAGCTGCTCCTCTCGCTACCACCGGTCTGACCCTGCACCCAGAGACATGGCTCCCCATGTGCTCAGCGCCAGGAGGTATGAAGAGCAGCCAGGGTTAGACTGCCAATGATGCCACGGCAGCCCGGTGGGGAGATGACAAAGCTTGCCACTGAGGGAGTGGATGGAAGGAGACATGGGGCCATGGGAGTGAGAGTAGCCAGTTCTCCTGCCAGCGGCCACATGGACAGACCCAGAATCTGTTTAACTGCCCCATAGACAGCCAGTTTGCCAAACCTCAGTCTCAGTTCCCAGAGGGACCTACCTTATACTTTGGCTTCTTGACCACCTTTCCTAGAGAAAAAAGGGATGGAGAGTTGGGGACACCAGACCAACAGATGTTCCCTCCTCCCCAGCACCTTCCCACCTGGGGACTCACTGAAGTAGATAATCCCAAAGAAGATGATGGCACACAGGATCCCTATCGTGATGAAGACCACCATGTGGATTCTGGGCCGCCCCTGGGAATCTGGGGGAAATCAAGACTTCAGCGCACTTCATCTCCCCCCGCAGTGCCTCACCTCCCCAGAGCTGCCATCCCTGACTTGCCAGACTCTAAAATCCAAGGCATAAGCTCATTGACATTAGGGTGGCCCTTGTGCAAAGGCAGCTGGCAGATGTCTCTAGGGTGACCAGCATTTTTTTTAATGTCTTGGAATATTTGCAACGTTTTAAAATTGAGAGAGTCCATGCTAAAAATCTGGATATCTGGGCAGCGCCTGTGGCTGAAAGGAGTAGGCCGCTGGCCCCATATGCCAGAGGTGGCGGGTTCAAACTTAGCCCTGGCCAAAAACTGCAAAACAAAATCTGGATATCTGGTTTCTCTCACAAATTGGGATGACTGAGCCCCAGCGGGCAGCCTCCCCAGCCGGTAACCATCAGCTAGTGCTGAGGAGGAGACATCTCTCCCTGCACCCCACACTGCCCACTGCCCCGCCTCATCTCTGCACTGTTGCTTTTCTAGAAGCAACACTCTTTATAGAAGAGGAGAGGGGAAAGCAAAGTTTCTTGTACTGGAGTCCATATTCTAAATGAGTAAATGAAAAAAAAAAGACCAAAAGGCCAGCAGGAACTAGAATGAGGCAAGGAAGCCAATTACTTCAGGATAAAATCTAAGAGGACACCAAAAAACTTCATAATCAAGATCAGTGCCATTTTAATGCCATATTTTGAAAAATCAGCCAGAAGACACCAAGTCAGCAAACTACAGCCCATATATGGGCCAGCTACCTGCTTTTTACAATAAAGTTTTATTGGAACCAGGGCCAGGATTAGAGTGAGGCAAGTGAGACAGGGTTGTGCAAATGCAGGGTAGAATCCTATTCTTTATTTTAAATTTTGCTAGTTTTTCCGCCACAGATTTTTTGCATTAATTTTGATTTTTTTTATTCTTACATCAAAATGTTATTTCTCTGGAGCACTGCATTTTTATGGCACTCCCACAGATATGCCTGAGGGCAAATGTCTAGCCCACCTCACTCCAATCCCAGCCCTGCCAAGAGGAAAGTAAATTTTTTTCTTTTTTTTTTCCAGAGAGTTTTATTATGTCACCCTTGGTAGAGTGCCATGGCATCACAGTTCACAGCAACCTCAAACTCTTGGGCTTAAGAGATTCTCTTGCCTCAACCTCCCAAGTAGCTACGACTACAGGTATCTGCAACAATGCCTGGCTATTTTTTAGTTGGAGTCGTCACTGTTGTTTGGCAGGCCTGAGCTTGATTTGAACCCGCCAGCTCTGGTGTATGTGGCTGGCGCCCTAGCTGCTGAGCTACAGGCGGCGAGCCAGGAAAGTAAATTTTAAGCAAAAGCAAAGAGAAAAAGAAAATGTATTTCTCTCCCCCCTGACCTTTTTCACTCATTAGCATGGCCTGCCTAGCCTCTGTAGTTATCTGAGTTTGTGATCCGTGCTGTAGGCTACCTTCTTATTCTAAAGTCACAGCTGAAGCTGAAAGGGGACAATATCAAACCATGGTAGCACCTGAGGTGCAGGGTGGCAGAACAGCATTTATGGCAAGCTTCCAAAGTGCAGGAGCCCACACCAGGCACTTACACCAACCTACTAAGGAAGGTGCTGTTATCCCATTTTACAGATGAAGAAAGTGAGGATTGAAGAGGGAAAGTGACTTTCCCAGGCTCCCAAAATAAATGGCAGAGCTAGGATACCACACCCTCAAACTGCCTCCCCTCTCATTCCATCTCCCCTCTCCCTTTCTCCACCAGTGTTTCTACGTGCCTCAGTCTCCCCCTGCAGTCCCCACCTACCTAGACTGCTACCAGGGCTCATGGTCCAGGACTCACCACAGACAACATCAGTCTTGTCCGTTCCTGCTTCTCTCTCTATCTGTCCTTCCATCTCACACCTACACACAGACATACAAACAGAGAGAAAGAGATACTAAGGTTCCCCGACCATAAGATTTCCAACCCTAAAGGGAAACAGTCAACAACCAACAAGTCCAGGGTCACTGGGCATGCATTAGGTGCAACGTCCTATGCTGGTTATTATAGAAACGACACAGGCTCTGTTCTTAAAGAACTCATAAGTACAGAGAAAAGATTATTGTACATCTTGAAGTTGTTAATAAATAGGAGAGTCTCTAATGAGCACCAAGCTTTGAGATCCAGGCTAACAGTGATTCAACTGTTCAGAGGAGACAGGGTCTCCACAATGAGGTGGAGTTCAGCTGCTAAAACCTTGGCACCAGAGACATTTAGGCTGGATCCTTCTTTGCTGTGGGGGGGTGGGGGTCGGGGGGTGCTTTCCTGTGCCTTGCAGGAGGTTGAGCAGCATCTCTCCTGACCTCCGCCCAGTAGCATTCCCTCCCCAGCTGGAACAACTGAAATGTATCCAGACATCGCCAAATGTTCCACTGGGAGCAAAACTGCCCCAGGTTAAGAACCTCTGATTTAAGGGCCTTCCAGAAAGACTACCCTGTGGAACTAAGATCGGAGTGAGCCCTGAGGAATGGAAAACTTGGAGCAACAGTGCATTCTAGCTAAGCAGCAGGACAACACAATGTGAGGGACATCAGGCAGGGGACAGGAGGATAGGGCTGGGGAACTACAGAAGACTGAGTCTTTAGAACCAGATTGCTGATAACCAGGCGTGAAAGTCGTGACTGGATTCAGGTGGAAGATCTCATCAGCAACCAACCAGATGACTTAACCAGTTAGTTCATGCAGCCAGCCAGAGTCCAGAGAAGAAATGACAGGCGAGTGGCCAGCAAGGAGGCAGAACAGAAGGCTAGACACAAGATGCTGAAGACCTGGTCCAGGGTGGCCCCAGGAGGAGTGGGGAGGAAGGAGCAGAGAAGGATATTGCCTAGGAGTTTGAAGCCAGGAGTTCAAGACTAGCCTGGGCAACATAGCAAGACTCCATCGCTACAAAATTGTTTTAAATTAGCCAAGTGTGATGCTATGTGGCTATGGTCCTAGCTACTTGGGAGGCTGAGGTGGGGGGATTGCTTGAGCCCAAGAGTTCAAGGATACATTCCAGCCTAGATGACAGAGCGAGAGCCTGTCTCTTTTAAAAAAAAAAAAAAAAGTGATGCATTAGACACTGTTTTAGGCATAGGGGATATATCGGTTGAAAGGGAAAAACAGCCAAGTTTCTACATTTAAGGAGTTTGCAATCTACCAGAGAAAGGCAGACAATTAACAAAATGTGTATGGCATGCTAGTATTTGTGTAACAAATAAAAGGAGGGAGAATCTGTGTGCTTGTGGCCATGTGGGTTTTGTTTGTTTGCTGGCTTGCATGTAGTAGTGGCTCCCTCCAGGGTGAACTGGGAGCTCAGGGGCAGGGCTGAAAGGGAGATCCCTCACAGCGGGCCTTTTTGTGCTTTCTGTCCTATGTGTTGCCCAGTTTTAAAAATTAAATGCAGAAAGTTAATGGGGCATGAGTTTAAGGTAGTCTAGGCAGAAGAGTTTGGGGCAAGAGAGTGAACGGTGTGTTTGGGGGCTTGCAGTCACAGGACACAGTGCCATGCAGGGAAGGGATCAGAAAATGCAGCTGCAGGTTGAAGGCCATGCTGAGGAGTCTGGGTATTTTCATTCTGAGGGCAACAGAGAGCCCTGAAGCATTGCAAATAGGGGAGCGCTGTAATCCACAAGGGAAGGGAGAACACTCGCTTTGGCAAGAGGATGGAGAACCAGCTGAAGGCTGGAGGCAGGGAGGATGGCAAGGAGGCGAAGGCAGCACCCAGACCTCAGTGACGTGGCCCAAACCAAAGTGAGGGCAGGGGAAACAGTGTGGAGAGAAACCCCCAAACACTTAGAGGACCAGATGGACAGGACCTGGGGACTGGTTTGGATTGGAGGGGAGTGAGGGCGAGAGGCCCAGGGGTGACTGCCCAGAGCCACAGAGGTGGCTTTCACACAGCATGAGAGGAGTGTGGGTGGGTGAGCCCACCTGGGATGCACAGTGTTTGAGGTGGCTGTGAGTCGCCGGGTGGAGGTGTGTGCTCAGCAGTTGGATAAGTCTGGGACTCAGGAGACAGATCTAGACAGGAGATGCTGATTGGGAACTGTCTGAGAGGGGCTTGGAAGTCATGGGTTTGGTCAGACGGCACAGGAAGGGCTGGCAAGAGCATTGAGAGGAGCGCCCTGAAGAAAGTCCTAGAAAAACAGGCAAGGAGGAAGAAGAGGAGGAAAACCAAGGAGAAGCAGAAGGGGGAGTGGAGGAGTGTCCAAATAGGGGTGTCCTGATACCCCTAAGACAGGAGAGCCTCATGAAGATGGAGATCTCAGCAGTACCTATGACCACTAAGGGAGAGATGCCCATCTGATGACCGGGAGGCCACTCTGTAGATGATTCAGAAGTGTATGAGCGTGTGGGACATAGGGGAGCACAGAACCCCCCGCTCTGTGGAGTGGAGAGAATGGAGGCTGGTCCATGCCACTGTTGGGGGAGGAATCACGAGGGAGGAGTCCTTATACCTCGTCCAACGGCGACACTTCTCAGAAGGAGATGAGACACTGGAGAAGAAGCCAAGTGGGCAGGGTTCGCAGATGGTGTCAGAAATGTTTGTACCTGGGGGCAGGTAGGGAAGGGGATGTTAACCATCCCGGGGGAGCCACTGGACAAGGAGGATGGGAAGAGCTCCTCTCTTGAGCACTCTTTCTCAGAGGGCTGCAGCCCCCAAGAGGAATTCTCCTGATGCCCCACAAAGGCAGATCCCCATGGCAGGTGGCAGAGTGAAAAAGGTCTCATTCTCCTGCTCACTCCATCAGAGTTGGCGGGGATGCCGGTGTAGGCTGGAGTCTTGCTTCCTCTGCCCCTGGGGCTAAGTGCCCCCTGCCCAGCCCCTCTCTTTGGACCCTAGGCTTGTCTGTCCCATCTCCCAGATGGGTCACTTACCAATCTGCTTGACCCCAAGGCCAGGATCACATGGCCTGTGCGGGTTGCAGCTCTCGCAGGCCTCATCAGTGCAGTATCGGCCCTTTTCACAGATGCAGACAGTGTCTGTTGTTGAGTCACCGTTTTCCAGGACCCGGAGCCCTTGGTCTGAGCAAAGACAGGCCAGAAGGATGGGAGCACCATGCTGGGCCATGCTGAGAGCCCTGATCCCCACCCTGCCTGCTCTTTTGGTCTTAGACCCTCTTCCAAGCAGAGACACACATTGTAGTGTGTCTAATGACCAGCACAACCCAGGCTCCAACCTATCAGGACAGACCCAGGCTACATAAAATCAGCTGGAATGGCTTGACACCTGTAGCTCAAGTGGCTAAGGTGCCAGCCACATACACCAGAGCTGGCGGGTTCGAATCCAGCCCAGGCCCACCAAACAATGACAACTACAACCAAAAAATAGCTGGGCGTTGTGGCAGGTGCCTGTAGTCCCAGCTACTTAGGAGGCTGAAGCAAGAGAAGCACTTAAGCCCAGGAGTTGGAGATTGCTGTGAGCTGTGACGCCACGGCCCTCTACCCGGGGCGACAGCTTGAGGCTCTGTCCCAAATAAATAAATAAATAAATATCAGTTGGACTATTAGCCTGGCTCCCAAGTGTCCCTTTCCCAGCAGCTTACGCACTGTGGTCACAGTGTTTGTGCTGGTAGCAGTATGTTTCTCTGTTCCAGGTGCCTAGAAATTCGCCTTTACTGCAATTGCTGCATTTTGTGTCTGTGACCTCTGTGCAGTCCTCCACCAGTTTCTTTCCTGGAAAACATCAGGAAATGAAACATCTCTAACCAACTCAATGAATCAGACACTTATCACAAACTGATCAAGCCAGGCTTTCAAGTGGGGGATTCAAAGATGAAAGTCCCAGCCCCTTCATAGTCTGGTGGGGAAGTTGGAAGAGATAGGAACTCTAATATAGGGTAGACAGAGGTTTTCCTGGGAGAGAGGGAGTCCAGAACATTTTGATAGCAAGGCAGAGATGAGAAATAGGTCATTTCAGACTTGAGTATACTGTTAAAATATGGGGTCTTCTTCTGCCAGCAAATGAAGAAGGGTCCCACTGTGGGTTAAAGGGTCAGCATCTCACCTGGCGGGCACAAAGAACAGCACTGGCTGTTTATTAGGTACTGATTTTCTCTGCATGCAGTGGGTGGTTCTGGATGGACCTAAAAACAGAATTGTGCAATTTGAAAGAAGCTCAAAATCTCTGCTGTAGCCTCCTTGGCAGAAAAGTGATAGTCGGCAAGGACAAAGGCTGCAACTGAAGTGAAAGTCCAAAGCAGAAAACGAAGCCTGCCTATGACTTGGTGTTTGTTTTTAACTGAACTGCCAACTGAGCTGATTATGAACACGCCCAGGGAGTCATCTGGGTATTATACTAAGCAAAGGCCCCAGAACTCACAACATTCTCTGAACAGATCTTCCTTTGGGCTTGACTCATGCCTCTTTCCTCTTCCCAAAGACCTAACAGGACAGGTCTCCCCTGGCATCCTGAGGCCTCAGCTGGTTCCAGTCCTGGCTGGGGCTATATTTAGCGCTTGGCCTCTTCCTCCCATTCTTCTGCTTCTCTTCCTTCCCCTCGCCAAGCCTCATCACATTTTCTGTCTCCAACGCCTCATCGTCTGCACATCCAGCCCCTCTCTCATAAAATGCTAGGATTGTGAGGCTATAAGAATAAACTCCACCTCTTTCATGTTACAGATGATGAGACTGACCACCAGAGAGGGTGGGTCTCTTACCCAGGGTCTCACAGTGACAGATTCTGAATGAGAATTGAGGTCCTTCTCTTCAGCAACTTGTGTCTCCTCTATACCATTTTTATTACGTCTGGGTGCCACTCATGCTATTAATTACTACACCTTAATTTAAATGGATTGATTTTCAATGTAAACTTCATTTCATTGCCACGAGTGAAAAACCAGAATAATGTGTCGTAAATAAAAGGTAACCTTAAAAACAAATCCAAAGCAAACAAAGCAATGTTATTAAGCCCCAGCAGGCTGCTTTTGCTTGCTGAAGGCCTTCCACCCCAGGCCCCTTCTTGATTTTTGTTTTAGAAGGAGGATTAGCAAGCTTTTGAGTATATATGCTTAACTATATTCTATCTCCAGACACTTCCTCCTTGAAGAAGATCGGAAGGATTTTTACAACAACTGTAAAGTGAGTCTGTGTTTAGTTCTCTATCCATGTGCTCCCTACAATCATCCTTTGAGAACAGCCCAGGAAAAGGACATAGGTTTGAAAGTCAGACAGCTTCAGGCTCCAGCCTTGACTTTGCAGCACTAATTATTGTGCTTCTCTTAACTAAAATGCAAGTCCACATAAATAAATAAATAAATAAAATGCAAGTCCCCCAATGCCTGTCATAGAGGTTAGGTTGTGAAAATGAAAAATAATATGTTAATATTATAAATACATATAAACATATGTATAGGAGGCTGGACTATTAAGTTCTCGAACTCATCCTAGGAAAAGTGCTACAGACCTCATTGCTGAACATCATCATGGCCACCTTCGAAGTTATCCCCTTAGGAAGCTATGCAGCAATAACAGCACCTAGTCCACCCTTCAGAGCAATCTTGTGTTTTGTTTTGAGATAAGAGTCTCACTTTGTATCCCTTGGTAGAGTGCCATGGCATCACAGCTCACAGCAGCCTCAAACTCTTGGGCTCAAGCAATCCTCTTGCTTCAGCCTCCCAAGTAGCAAGGACTGCAGGCACCTGCCACAATGTCTGGCTATTTTTTTAGAGACAGGATCTCACTCTTGCTCAGGCTGTGTCATGAACTCCTGAGCTCAAGCAACCCACCCACCTCGGCCTTCCAGAGTGCTAGGATGACAGGCGTGAGACACCACACCCAGCCTTACTTCATAGTAATTTGGGAACTCTTTTTCTGGACTGGCCATCAGAGCTATGGTCATACTCGGTTTGATGATTAAGTTCGCAAAAAAGTGCTTTGAAGGGTGGACTAGGTGCTGGTATGAGTGCATAGCTTCTCAAGGGGAGTAGTTCAAAGGTGAACATAGCTATATTCACCAATGAGGTATGTAGCACTTTTTCTAGGATGAGATCCAATCTTAATTGTCTGAACTTGTATGGCCTGGCACAGGATCTGGAACAGAGGAGGTGCTCCTTAAATAGCAGTCTTAATCATCATACATGTGTACCTGTTTGGAACCCTAACCCGAACCCTGGGGCACCCTAGCTAACTGGTGGGCTGTCCAGGATCCTACCCAATTGATAGCTCTCACTCAATCTGAACAAAATCACTTATAGAAATGTGTCTTGAGGCTCGGTGCCTGTAGCTCAACCGGCTAAGGCGCCAGCCACGTACAGCTAAGGTGGCGGGTTCGAATCCCCAGCCTGGACCCGCCAAAACAACAATGATGGCTGCAACCAAAAAATAGCCGGGCGTTGTGGCGGGCGCCTGTGGTCCCAGCTACTTGGGAGGCGGAGGCAAGAGACTCGCTTGAGCCCAGGAGTTGGAGGTTGCTGTGAGCTGTAATGCCAAGGCATTCTACCCAGGGGGACAGCTTGAGGCTCTGTCTCAAAAAAAAAAAAAAAAAAAGAAATGTGTCTTGGGCAGCACCTGTGGCTCAGTGGGTAGGGCACTGGCCCCATATAGCCAGGGTGGTGGGTTCAAACCCAGCCCCAGCCAAACTGCAACAGAAAAAGAGCCAGGTGTTGTGGTGGGCACCTGTAGTCCCAGGTATTCAGGAGGCCGAGACAAGAGAATCGCCTAAACCCAGTAGTTGGGAGGTTGCTGTGAGCTGTGTGATGCCACGGCACTCTACCGAGGGCAATAAAATGAGACTCTGTCTCTACAGAAAAAAAGAAAAAGAAAAAGAAATGTCTTAACCTAAATGAGGAAGGAAGTTGAAAAGGTTACTGCCCCTACCAATATATCACAAGGCATCATCCTCTGAACATGGACCTTCCCACTACTCAGAGCATTGAAAGTCCTTGATACCATCTTCAAACACAGGATAAGTACAGCTCCTCCTCTTAAAGTCTGTCAATCTCACTGCCCAAAGTTCTGATTCTTCTCCCACAAAGAGCTCAGGACCATAGCTTAGAGATGCTCACCATCTGAGAGACGGACTCAGGAATCTGGTAGATGTAGATTCATGTCCAGGTTCCACCATTACCTAGCTATGAGACCCTTGGCAAGACAATTCCCCTTTCTGAGCCTCAGTTTGCATATCTGTATAATGGGTTTTGGGAGAAATCAGACCAAGAATATATGTAGTGTTTTTCTAAGAGCCTGACATATGGAAAATCCTCAATAAATAGCCCCTACTATTGTTGTCACAGCCCAGCCTCTACTGGGAGCCAAAATTGGGGGTTATGAGGGCAAAACCTGCTCTTGAGAAGACCACACTGCATCCCACTTCCTCTGGTTCTTCTTCCATCCTCCCACCAGGGCTATCTTCTGCCTCTCTCCAGCTCCACCCTCTCCCTGCTTCCTTTCTCCCTAAGAGCCACTTCTGAGAGTGAAAATGAAAGCTCCAGGACCAAAGCAACTTCTCTACTTGCTCGGTTCCCTTGTAGCCAACTCCCCACACCACAGGTCACTCCTGCCCAGACCTCATGCCAGAATCTTCAGCCCCTGAAAGTAGGGGAAGGCCAGAGGGGTTGGATTGAGAGGACCAGGTACTTGGGGGATTCCCAGCCTCCAGAATGAGGAACTACAAAAATACATTTCAACAAAAAAGTGAGTCAAGTATGGGCTTCCGAAAATCCAGGAGATATGCTTGGTTGAGTCTCAGCCCCTTCGGTGCTGGAGAAACCCTGCTGGTCCCCCATCCTCCTTTTCTTGAACTGTTCATCTCTCCCTGGGGCCCCCTCTGTCATCTTAAATTCAGGACACAAAGACACAGCCTTGGGGATTCATTCCTCTCAGGTTGGATCACCCAAGAGAGGGAGGAGTTGTTAAAAGTTCCTTGCCTTCTCAAAAAAGTAATTGGGCCTCTGTACCCATCCCTTGTTCCCACAAGATGTCCTGGAAGAAAGCAGCCCCAGCTGGCAAGAGGATGATAACCACTCACAGAGGCTGGCATCTGTCCACAATATGAAAGGGACAGGAAACGGGCCAGACCCACTGCTTCCCTTGGCCCTCTCACTCCCCGCCCTCTGAAACCCCTGCCAGTCTCTCCGAGGCCAGCCTCTGAGGCTCCCTAAACCCCAAACCCATCCACGCTGCCTAGGCATGTGGGTGCGTGCCTTCCCTAAGCCGCCTCTGTGGGCTACCTGGGACCCTAACCAGGAAGAAGGAAGAGACAGCCCACCTCATTTCGCCCGGAGCCAGGGTACCCTGCCCAGCTCCCGTCCACCCTTCTGTCCCCGGCAAAACCAGCTAGGAAAGTCTCCTCCCCGAAGTCTTGCTTCTCTTTCCTTCCTTCTCATTCCTTACTCATTCTCCACTCTCAAATCCTGTCGTGTCAAGGACAAAAACAACTCACGGTGGTCAGCAAGCAGCCCCAGAGGACGCACTGCACTGGCAAACGAATCATGGCGAGGTGAGACCCAGGCGGCAGGGGTCTGGGCCCTTGGAGGGGCCGCTAGTAACTCCTCTGACCCAGCCCCTGGCCCCGCCCAGGAAAAAGGCGGAGTCTCGGAGGACCAATTGCGGTCCGCCTATGGGGAGGGCGGAGCCCTAGGCAAGTGACAGCACTGGGATTTCCCTCTAGGACATTTCCCGGAGTTTAGTTTCTCCCGGGAGTTTAGGGACCCGCTTGGCTGGGTAGGGGAGAAAGCGGGGTGCCCTGGGCCAAGGAGCTGCAGAGGGAGCCCTTCCTCCTTGCCCCCAGGACCCACAAAGGCCAAGTCCAGGCGGGCTAGGAGAAATCCTCCTTCCAGGGGAGTGGAGGGAGAAGAAAGAGATCCCCATGAGCGCTGGGGCGGGGTGTCCCCTGGGGGTCCTTCCCGGAATCCTGGCAGAACTGAAAGCGTTCCCACCGTAGATAGAGAGGCCTCAGGAAGTCCCACCACCACCACCCCAGAAAACGAGAAGGCCGCATTGAGGTGTGGGGGAGGCATTTCTAGGAAAAGGATTTTCCAACTCAGAATTTCACTTTCTTTCAAAGGAATTTCCCTCATGTGGGAGCAGCGTCCCAGCTTCTCCATCCGTCCATCCATGCGTCCCCACCGCATCCCAGCTCCCACCTAGCCCCTGGAGGCAGGAGTTTATTGAGTGAACCATCCCTCTGTGGAATAATAGGTCCCCTGGAGAATGTTAGGAGAGTCAGGGCCCTACCATTCTGCAGAAACACACACACCCTTATGCCTGTATTTCCCCATTTCCTGGCCCCCTAAAGCCGTTCTTGAACCAGTGTTAAGATTCTGCTCTGCGATATGGAACGTGTGAACTCGGGTTCCAGTTCTGCCTCTGATAACTGGGGGTTTCCTTGAGTCTCAGTTTTCCTCCAAGGAAACCTGAGAAGCTTGAACTAGACAGTGGTTGGAATGAGGACCCTCCACGCTCTGAATGTCTGGAACAAACCAAGTGGTCAGACAGCACAGAACAAAAAGAGAAAGGAAGGAAGGAAGGAAGGAAAGAAGGAAGGAAGAGAGAGAGAAAGAAGGAGACTGCTAACCCCATTCTCAACTCTTGGGAACTCTATAACCTCCGCTGCTGACCTAATTCAAAGGTCCCTGAATTCCTCTTTCATCTCAACCATCCCAACAGCTTCACTCATTCAGTTAGTACTTCCGGAGCACCTTCAGGCAACCCCCTCTCCACATTACCGCAGTTTTCTTGGTAAACTCCAGCTCTGATCTGATTGGGGCACGTACCTGCTTCAAAACTTCTTTGAGTTCCCCTCCACCCTAGGGATAATCCAAACTTCTTATCCTGGCTGAGCACACCCTTCCCCAACCTCTCTGCCCAAGCCCACTTCCTGCCATGCCCTCCCCTGCTCACTGGCTTCAGCCATGCTCACCCTCTTCCCTTTCCCTATACACACCATCTTTTTCCTTTATGGTTTAACTCACTGTGTCTTGCTATTTTCCTTCCCTCCCGAAACCAGTTTAAATGTTGCCTCCTCTTAAGCCTTCTCCAACTCCCCAACCAGAGGTAGGTACTCCAACCCACCCTGCCTTCTTCCCCATGTTCCCATAGCATTTATCACACTGGACTGTAACTCCATCTGCCTGGTCCCATTTGACTGTAAGCTCCTGGAGGGCAGGACTGAATCCTGCCCTGGACACATAATGGGACACATACCAGTACACATGTGTTGAATGAGTAAATAAATGAGTGAGTGGGTTTAGTGACTTCTCATCCTAAGCACAGCCTCCATCGTTAAAAAGAGTTGAGCCGGGGGAGCAGTGGCTCACACCTGTAATCCTAGCACTCTAGGAGGCTGAGATGGGGGGATCCTTTGAGCTCAGGAATTTGAGACCAGCCTGAGCAAGAGAGAGACCCCATCGCTACTAAAAATAGAAAAAAAGGGTGGCACCTGTGGCTCAGTGAGTAGGATGCCGGCCCCATATACTGAGGGTGATGGGTTCAAACCCAGCCCCAGCCAAACCACAACAAAAAATAGCCGGGCATCATGGCAGCCACCTGTAGTCCCACCTACTTGGGAGGCTGAGGCATGGGAATCACCTAAGCCCAGGAGCTGGAGGTTGCTGAGTTGTGTGACACCACGGCACTCTACCGAGAGCAATAAAGTGAGACTTTGTCTCTAAAAATAATAATAATAATAAATAATAAAAATAGAAAAAAAACTAGCTGGACGTCATAGCGGGTACCTGTAATCCCACCCACTTGGGAGGCTGAGACAAGAAGATCAAGAGGCTCAGTGTCCATAGATCAGTAGTTATGGCGCCAGCCACATACACTGGGACTGGTGGGTTCGAGCCCAGCCTGGGCCTGCTAAAGAACAATGACCACTACAATAAAAAATAAAATAGCTGAGCATTGCAGCGGGCACCTGAGGTCCCAGCTACTTGGGAGGCTGAGGCTTGCTCTGGTTCAAGGAGAATCACTTGAGCCTGAGAGTTTGAGGTTGCCATGAGCTGTGATGCCATGGCACTCTACCGAGGGCAACATGGTGAGACTCT